GGTGCTGACTGTGACAAGAGCTAAAGAGGATAGGAAGTGGTTAGAATCAAAGCCTGACTTCCACACAAAAAAATGGAAACCACTCAAAACTCTCTGAAGAGCCAATTAATGTGTTTCACAAAAATGGTACCCAGTTGTATGATTCCGACCGTAGAAGCTAATAGGTCAGTCTCGGAGATTTAGGATTGGGGATTTCCAGAGCTCAAATCAGAGGCAATTATTAAAAATAAAATTTTAATATCCCAGTCAGTTGTCTCTTCTAAATAAACCAATAAAACCTAAATAATAGTTCAAGAAAGTATGCAACTACAACTTGTTATTTTTGTTTCTGCTGGCACTCCCATTAATCTCTTCACTAAGGGTTCTATTTCATGAATGAAGTCAATGTCAAAGTTCAGTATTTGAACTGGGTTTTCAGTTTCTCTAAAGTAACTTTGAAATACCAGTACTCCATACTATTTCCTTAATTGGTAGCAAAGTGTAGCTAGTCTCCCTTTCAGAGATAGAGTAGATCTCACAAGTTCTATCTTTGTTGAAGCCCTACATCCAATCCCCCCTTAGATGCTAAAATTCCAATCTTTAGTCTTGAAGGCCTATATACTATTTCAACCTCACTACCACATAAAATACTATGATTCAGCTCCTTATGGCACTGGCTTGAAAATTTCTCCTCATTTCTGTCACTTGAGTAAATTTCTTTCCTTGAGTTACTTATATATAGAGAAAAATATTTATATTTGTCCATCATTTCTATGTTGTGTCAACTCAAAATGCCAAAAGTTAAAGTATTACTTGTATCTGTTATTACCACATATACTTCTAATATAAAATAAAACCAGTATATTTAAATAAATTCATACACATATTTGATTTTTTATCAATGATCTAAAAACTATGGCAGTGTTGGAATGTTTTCAAATTTTAGACTCTGTAGCCAATCTTTCTTTCTTTTTTTTGAGACAGAGTCTCACTTTGTTGCCTGACAGAGTCTCACTTTGTTGCCTGGGCTAGAGTGTCATGGTGTCAGCCTAGCTCACAGCAACCTCAAACTCCTGGGCTCAAGCAATCCTTCTGCCTCAGCCTCCCGAGTAGCTGAGACTACAGGCATGCACCACCATGCCCAGCTAATTTTTCTATATATTTTTAGCTGTCCAATTAACTTCTTTCTATTTTTAGTAGAGACAGGGTCTCACTCTTGCTCAGGTTGGTCTTGAACTCATGACCTTGAAAATCCTCCCACCTCAGCCTCCCAGAGTGCTAGGATTACAGGAGTGAGCCATCACACCAGGCCTGTAGCCAATCTTTTTAAAGCAAATATCTAGGATGGAAAAATGACATTTGATGTTTAATAAAATTTGTTTAAAAAATTAAAATATCACTTGAAAACATATAAACACATGTGCATGTACACACACAAACAAACAAACTAAATTATAATTTGTATCAAGTACACCCTGGTTGTCGCAAAGATTTGGTCCTGTTCTCCTTGCTAACTTTCATGAAATTTCTAAACTAAAGAAAATGAGAAAATGTCAATAGTAGCTAAAGACGTATTCGGAACACACAGGTTCCAACTCCTGTTATTTCATCACTGGACTCCTCCCAAATAGAGTTTGGCAAGAGTCATTCTGAAATCAACACAGAAAGTCACAGAAGAACAAATTCAGGTCATCTGATTCATTCCACTTGTGATTTAAAGTACATCGAAACCCACATTTTCAGAGGAGAAAGTTAGTTATAAAGTATTGCAAATCAACTAATGTCACTTGTTTCAGGGTCTCTTAAACTTTGAGTTGGAGGGGAAATAAGGTGAAGAAAGGAGAAAAAAAGATTGAGTATTTTTAAATATAAAACCTTCAAATTGCTGAAAACTCTTATTTTTATATCACAAATTTGGAAATAACTTCAAAAGAAATAACCATATGGTCCACATAAGCTTTACCAATGTTACCTATTAAATAAAATATTAACATTATGTTTCTAAAATTAAAAGAAAATTTGTATTTATTAAGATTTCTTTTTGGTATTCCAATTCTAAGTATGAAGTCCTATACACCTCCAAAAGTCTAAAACTAAAATACTAACACTCAGACTGATTTATCCTTCCTCCTTTGGGTAAAATCCCATGTTCTTTACTTTTAGATAATTGTTAATTAAAGACTATTTTAAAATTATATCTATATTACACAAAAATATTGTGAAAAGTATTTAATTAATTATTGACTCAAAATATCTATTAACATGTATTTTACCATGTATTAACATGTATTTCCAAAGACATGGTCAATAGGTCTATCAAACATTTCCACCTCATACTCAAGATATTATTGGACATCAGCTCTTTGTTTCATACAGGTTGTTTTGGGAAATAAAAACAATCAAGAAAGGAACAGAGAATGTTCTTCTCTGTGTTTGCTGCACTACAAAACCATTGGTGTAAGGAGAAGGGAGGAGCTTTGTTATTGAATTTGCTGCCACTACAAACATTAGTAGAACAATCAATTCTATTACTATTTGTTCATTCTAGTCTTTATGTTTCCTTGTCTCATCTTTAGCCCTGTTGTGTCCTGATTCTATGATGCTTATTTCTTTTCTTTCTTTGTTGTCCCCAGTATCTTTTCCTATTCAATTAATTGTTTTGAAGTCTAGCTTAAAACCAATACATTATGTGTTGTACTATCAATCACTTTTCCAACAAATTATTCTTCTGCTTTTAAAGAATATCACTTCCACTGAATGACTAATCACAGACATACAAATGCTAATTCAGCTGTGCTTGGAGTAAAGTTGATTACATTGCTCTTCCTTTATTATATATGTGTGCCATATTTTCTGAAAAATAAAAATTACATTTTATATGTCCCTAGGTTAAAGTCTCCCAAGGATGATTAAAATATTTTTATAAAAGAAATCATCATGTATTTCCCTAAAAAGATGATAGGTGCATATTAATAATATGTTTATCCTAGTTTCTTTATGATACTCTCTGAAGAGGCATTTTAAATGTTTTTTATTAATGGATAAATAAGCAACAAACCTGTAATATGAGGGAAAAGAAAATAACCACGTATGGGAATAGGTATGTTTTTCCAGAAAAGTGTAGTTAATGACAATGGAGCCATTCATTGACAACTCACCATATTCCAGGCTCTTAGCTGAACATATTACACACATTGTTGCATCTCATCCTCCCAACCAATCTTGCAACTATGGGCATTTTTATTAAAATTTAATAGATGAGGAAACAGAAGCACAGATAGGTAATTTCTCCATGATCACATAGCAATAAATGAAGATTAAAACACAGGTCTGTCTCCAAAGTCAAAGCTCTTGACTGCCAGGCAAATCACCTATAAGCTGGAAAATATAGAACTAAATTTACTACATAAAAGAAAAAAGAACAAGAAAAAGAAACTATAGCAATCTACATCACCCTGAAGAAGAAAAAATTAAAATATAAACAAAAATCTCCAAGAATGGTGCAGAAATCATGTATAATTAAATTCTGGGTCAGTGCAGTGGCACATGCCTGCAGTCCCAGCTATTCTAGAGGCTGGGGAGGGAGGATAGTTTGAGCCCAGGAGTTCTGGACTATGTCTGATGCCCATCAGGGATCTGCACTAAGTTCGGCATCAATGTGGTAACCTTCTGGGAGCCAGGAACATCCAGGTCTCCTAAGGAGTTGCAAACCAGTCGAAGTAGGAAATACAGCAAGTCAGAACTCCCCTGCTGATGGGTAGTGGGATCCCACCTGTGAACAGCCACTGCACTCCAGCCTAGGCAACATGCTAATACCCTGTCTCAAAAAAAAAAAAAAAAAAATACACACACAAACAAAACAAAACAAAACAAAATGTAAATTCTTGGCCAATGGCAAATATAATTTGTACATAAAACTAAAATGTGAATAACAACTAAAATTCTTCATTAAAATGTCAAGCTTTTTTAAAAATGGCTTTCCTACATAATAAAATCATAACATTTGTGCTTTCATAATTCAAAAGGAACATTCACGCTTACATTAAATCAGAAAAATTGGAGGGTTTAATAAGTGTTCAGGACTTTAAACTCTAATAAGTAACAGGCTTCTCTTCATTCCTCAAACACAATTTCAAAATTAACTATGAATTTTATTTATAAGTTTAAAATCTCTAATTATAGAGTATATAGAACTGCTGATCAAATGTTATAGCTAATGTTACATATTTCTATATTTTGGTATGCTTTTTAAGAAAAGTAAGATACTAATAATGTTACTAAGACATAATTGTAAAAATGTCCATGGGTGTTACCAACATATCAGAAAAAAAAGACTGATTTTTATCATAAAAAACACACAAACCAGTGAGAAGGAACATTTCCTATATATATTTGTTTAATCATAACCTAACGGAGTCCTTATTTGTACCTTATTGAGATCGAAACCAACGAGGGAACCTCAGAGTAACAATAGAAAGAATGGGACTCTTCCTTTAAAGATAATTTTCTCCCACCAGGAAATTAAATGTTTCTCCTGGCAGCAAGTAAAGTACACAGAGGAATGTAGGCTCACACGTATACCTCTTCAAAGCTAATCACAGACCGGGGTTACCCAAGGTTCAGGCTAAAGGGAGGGGCAGTCTTATCCCTACACTACATATTATTTGAGCATGTAAACCAATTTATAAGCACTGGCTAGAAGACATTTCTTCTTTGGGGAGGGTTTTATGAAAGAATTAAATGTAGTAAACTAGAACTACAGCACCTTTATATTACTAAAGAAAGAGAGAAGACTAGCATCTTTCTTAAAGATGGCCCATGTAATATTTTGTGTGTTTAAAGCTGTAATGTATAAGGGACATATTTAACCCATAGTTCAGCAAAATATAAGGAACAATCTAACAGAGTTCATCTAGACAGAAGTGGTTTCATTCTGAGGAAAGAATCAGTATGGGCTTGGAATCAGTGAGTGAATTTGGGGTCAGTCACTGGTTGCTATGTCAATTTATAAACGTTCTGTAACATGTCTGGACCTCAGTTTCTTCAACAGAGACAACAATACCTCGCTTACGAGATAGCTGTGAGGACACAATGAAATACATAAAGATGGTTCTATAAACTTTCTACTGCTGCACAAAGGTAAAACAGTGTTAATATTATCAGTTTTATCTATAAGTAGAAAGGGGCCACAGCTAAAATTTAGCCACATGGACACATGGCATCTGAGAGGGTACACATCATAGACACAGCCACTGACTTCTCAGAGCTAACACTTCTAAATCAAAGTCTCCTTGCTCTCCAGGCTGAACGAGCCCTTGTGAGTATTAGGCAGTGAGACTGGCACGAGAGAGACATCTAGTGTTTGAAATAACAGAAGAGCAGATTTGGTAATTAAAACAAATTTTTAAACAAAAAATGAAATAAATTGCATTCTCAAAGAAAGCCATACAAAAATTACATGAACCTTACAACAACATATACTATACCATTTCAACTATACCATAGTTGAAATGGTATACCATACTACACCATTTCAAATCTTCCAGAAACTAAAAATTTTTATTGGAATTTTCAAATCCTAAGCAGACATTTTTTTAAAGGAGAACCATAAAGGGAATTCCAAGAACTTCCTGTTTAAGACATTTACCACCTAATGGTAGAGTTTGGAGCAAAGACAAAAGCAGAGAGGTCTGGAGAGAGAATAATAAACAGCAAAGGGAGATTTTGTTAGTTAGAAATCAGTGATGAAAAACAGAGCTGCTTTTTTAGAGAAGGTGAGGAGAGGCTAGCGGAGAAGACTGAACAAAAAACAAGAGCCTAGATTATTGTAAGTAATAGCCCCACATGGGCAGTGTTGCATCAAGAGTAATTCAGCTTTTAGATTTTAATAACTAGGTAATAAAAGCATTTATGCTGCCCAAATAGTTCACAGATATTTATTAACTACTAATGATAAGTTAGGAAACTTCTAGATATTTGTAATACATCAATTAACAAAACATATAAAGATCTCTGGTCTTGGAACTTATACACTAGATAAGAAGAAAGGCAGTAAGTAATAAACATAATAAATAAGTAAAATTATTAATAGTATATTAAAAGAAAATAATTTTTATGAAAAGAAACAAGTAAAATAGGGTAGGGGAGACTGAGAATGCCGGGCAGAAGGAAGGGGAAATACAATTTTTTGCTAAAGCAACTATATACCTAATCTCCCCAATCAAGAAGTAGAAAATGAAAATGAAACTTAAAGCCTTCTTTAAGACAGATGCTATCAATAGTTCTTTCCCTCCTCACTGTCAATAAAATTTCACAACCACCTTTCTATGTTAGCTGTACAAGTTTTTGTCTGGAATATGTCAAATAGTGGAAGCAACCATATTTATGTGCAATTAATTACAGGAGTTCTCCATATCTCAAAATTCTCACCTAGCATTTCTCTAATTGTTTTTGTTTCAATTTATACACCTATCAAAGTTTCCTACCACCTTGAAGATTCCCTAAATGATTTTCAATGATAATAATAACAAACCTAGAACTTCTTCTTCCTTTTATTTATATATTTAAATAATGTCTATGGTTATACCTCTCTAAATATATGAACAAAATAAATATTAATTAAGTTGTTCTTCCCTAAATTCTAATAATCCCTACACTATAGTAATGCCGAACAGAAGGGGTAAAGCACCCTTGTCCCCAAAACTATAATTTTTTATGGAAATACATGGTAAACATGCAATGCAAGTCAATTCTGGTGTTTCAAACCTTTTAGAAACATTTTCTGAAAATATATGTTATTGTTCTTTACCATACAACTACTGAATGGAGAAGACATGATATATTTGATGGACATATATTAATACTTCATTAATGTACATCACAGAACAGGCAAATTTTTCATGAACTCTTATGCTGATAATTTCTCCCTGAAACATTTTGAAATAGTAATATAATTATTTATTTTGTTTGGTTTGCCTCCATCACAAAAGGAATTTTTCTTCTTCATACTGATATTCATTCTACATCATTATCTTTTTGTAAATATATGTCATATGTTACTTTTTTATAGTTCTCTAAACTCTCAAAACCTAACGATACATATAATTATGATCTGCTACATAATGTTGTGTGAAATGACATGAATTCTTTATTTTTCAATAAACTTGTGCTATCAAAATTCTACCATAAATCTCAGGATATAAAAAAGTCCAATATCTAGAATCCCTATACCTAACATTATTTGTAACCAAAATTTGCCCAAAATTTTCTGAATTTTTCTCTAATTACAATAAATTTAGTAATATAACTTTGGTAAACACTATATAGCATTCTCCCCAAGATATTTATATATACATAAGCTCCCAAAAGTTTTTGGTATGCACAGAAATTCATATAGAACCATATTATTGTTTTCCAATATACACAGGAACATTTATTGATTCGAAGATCATTGACTATATGTTTTGTTTATAATCTTAAATTGCCAATTTCCCTCTGGTCTTAGGGTATGTAAGGATCATATTTAAAATTTAAAAGTCACAGAAGTGCCTAATTTTGTGTGATGAGAGAAGAATTGAACTTCTTGTTCACTTTTTCTTCTGTCCTTAAGAGATAATTGTTATCAAAAATTTATATCCTTTTCTCTTCACCTAACAGAGAAACCCACTTACAATTTTAACCCCTTTAGCAGAAATATCCATATACAGACACACACACACACACACACACACACACACACACACACAGGAACACAAATTAGCATAGAAAATTATACAAAAGTCTTTTTAAATTCAGATTATTTATTTTTGTTACTTATTCTGAAAGAAGAGGCTAATTTTGAATGTCACTTTATCTTTAGTCCCTGTTAAGTAGGAATATTACTTATGCAAATCCTTACCTTGTTTAAAAGTTATCATTGAAATATTGACCTATCTGTGCCTCTTGTTATTATGAGATCCTTTGTTATGATTTTATTCACTTGCTAGGTAAGACTCTGAACTGTTATAGAAAATGACACATTTCCTAGGTGTTATCCACATAATATCCACCCCTAGCATGGCAATGTCCTGTTTTAAAATGGTAACAGGCTAGAGGTGGTGGCTCACACCTGTAATCCTAGCACTCCGGGAGGCCGAGGCGGGTGGATCATTTGAGCTTTGGAGTTCGGGACCAGCCTGAGCAAGAGCGAGACTCCATCTCTACTAAAAAGAGAGAAATTAATTGTCCAATTAAAAATATACATAGAAAAAATTAGCCGGGCATGGTGGCACATGCCTGTAGTCCCAGCTACTCGAAAGGCTGAGGCAGGAGGATTGCGTGAGCCCAGGAGTTTGAGGTTGCTGTGAGCTAGGCTAAATGATGCCATGGCACTGTAGCCCGAGCAACAGAGCAAGACTCTGTCTCAAAAAACAAAATAAAATAAAATGGTAACGACGATTCTAAAATGTAAAATCACAGAAATTAATACATCAGGTTATCCGAAGTATGCTTTGGAGCCATCCTTGTCTTCATAATAGAGTCTACCCAAATCCCTATGTGAAATTTCTCTGGCTGAATCTATGTTTATTAAAATCCCACTGAATAACATAAAGACTTTCTTAAGGCAAACTAAAGGACAAGAGGCATCTGCCCACAATATAGAACCTCATAATAAAAAATGTACCCTTCATTTGTGGTATAATTCAAGTTTATATACATGAAAGGAGACTTAATTTAAATAATCAGAAATCTGTAAATTATCTAGAGTTGGAATTTTAGCCCCAGATCAGATATTTTTTATATCAAAAGTCCATTAATGGCCGGGCGCACTCTGGGAGGCTGAGGCTGGTGGATTGCTCAAGGTCAGGGGTTCGAAACCAGCCTGAGCAAGAGCGAGACCCCGTCTCTACTCATAAAAGAAAGAATCAATTGGCAACTAATATATACAGAAAAAATTAGCCGTGCATGTTGGCGCTTGCCTGTAGTCCCAGCTACTCGGGAGGCTGAGGCAATAGGATTGCTTGAGCCCAGGAGTTTGAGGTTGCTGTGAGCTAGGCTGACGCCATGGCACTCACTCTAGCCTGGGCAACAAAGTGAGACTCTGTTCAAAAAAAAAAGACAAAAAAAAAAAAGTCCATTAATAAAAGCTGTATGTCCATAATTCATTGCATAGATTTTTACAGTTTGAGACAAATTGGAAAATTAAGAACTGAAAACATTTTATTGATAAAATGTTTCATGTCCTTGATAAAATTATAGAATAGATAAATTAGAGAATATTTCTAATTAACTATTCACATATAATTATAACTATAGTTATTAAATTATAAAAATATAACCACATCTATCAGGGAGTAAATGAATCAGTCAGGGTGTAAAGCTGTTTAAGTGAACTAATCTCTTTTACTCCTCACAATAACCCTATGAAATAGATGCAATTTCTTCTATTACAGATAAGGAAATTGAGACTAAGACTTTAAGCAAGTTTCCCAACTAGGTAATGTTGACTGGAATTCATTCTAAATCTGTTGTCTTCAAAACCTTCACCATTAAACACTATACTTTACTAGTATCCTTGAAAGGAAATCAATCTGAGTATTTAAAGTACAATATCTAAAAACTTGTACATGAAACCTAGCCTTGATCCTACGTCCATAAGACATATCAAAAGTTGAAAAATAAATCAGAATGCAAACTGAAATAGTTTGTCACTATGTTAAGAGCTCCTAATGTTCGGGACACATATTTTCTATAGACAATAAATGCCTGGAATATTGAATAAAGTTCTTCATCACAAAGCAAATTTGTATCCTCAAACCTTCAGAGACAAAGCACATTGGAAAGAGAGCCACTTTCAAAGTCAGAGAAGACTTCTCACCACCACTACTGACCAGCTGTGAGATCTTAGTCACAGAACTTAAACTCTATTTGCCTCCATTTCTACAGGGAATAATAACACACTTATTTAATATTTGTAATGACAAGTAAGTGACACAATGTACATTAAATTGCTGACACTCAGAACATGCTATAAGAGCATTATTATGTCTAAAAATGACTTTTAAAAATAATTGATGGAAGAAATTTTATTATAAAAATTAAGCATTAAATTTTGAAAAGTATGAAGGGGTTTTTTTAAAGCCATACAGATACTTTTCAAC